GATTCTCAAAGTAATATAAAAATTTTTGAAGCACTATTTTAGAAGTAATGACTAGGAAGTTTCTATTTCATAACTGGTATGTTGCAAATGGAAACCAATGCTAGCATAAAGAGTATGGATAGCAATTTGTATAAGGACCTAGTATATTCCAGTTTCGACCACCTTTATTTGCTAACCCAATAGAATATGAAAACTTACATGGGTTTGCCAAATGAAAACAGTACTACCTTTACTTGAGTATTTACTAAATGTAAGGCTGTAAATGCTTTATAAGGATTATCTCATTTAATTTTCACAAGAACCCCATGAGGTAGATGCTGTCTGTCATTATCCTGTTTTTGTAAATAAGCAAAGTGGGCCCAGAGAGGGTAAGAAACTTGCCCACAGTTATGCAGTAGTGGTGAAGCTGGAATTTGAACTCAGGTAGTAAACTGCAGAGCTTGTGCACTTAACCTTGAAGTTATTTGGCCTTCTTGAATTTAAGAATTCACTCATGGAGGAGAGTGTGAGGTGCACCCAGGTGTGGTACCCAGCTTTGAGACTACCACTCTGTTCGCTACTACATATATAATAAACCGAACGCTGTGAACCTATCTCACTTCTGTTTTCACTGGGGCTTTGCCACATGGAATAAGAAGCTTTACCACAGTAGGCAGTGAGAAGCAGAGTCAATAGGAGAAAAATACCTCCAGCTCGTAGGATTTAGGTTAAACCAAAGCAATTTTCAGTATTTAGGGTTTTTGTCCCCCCAGAACTGGGCTACTGTGAGCAGTTATAGCCCCTACTTCTCTTGGGCCCTTTAAAATAAGAGGGGAACACTTTGTAACATTTCTTAGGCCTCCTACAGCAATGTTTTAGCAGGAAGGCAGTCGGGGTCTTCTGTAGCCTTCATAAACAAGCCCCATTGTGTAAATTTCCTCACTGTGTGGAGCACAATCAGCATCCACCCCGCGCCCCCCCCCCCCAGCGCTGCTGAGGCTTGATTGACAAAATTTATGTATGTTTAGGTTGTACAATGTGTTTGTTTTTTAAGGCGCACAGTGAGATAATTTAATATATATTATACATAACGAAACAACTACCACAACCAAGTTAATTAACATATCTCTTAGCATTTTTTTTTCTGGTGAGAACACTTAAAATCTATTTTCTTAGAATTCCACACAAGATGGCGGCACAGGTAAACGTGGGACTCGCCACCTCCCACAACCACAGTAGAACAACCATCATTCAGAACCACCTGAGGTCTAGCTGAATGGAAGTCCTACACCTGGGGAATTAAAGAAGAAGCACATGGAGACTAGTAGGAGGGGTGGAGACTCAGGACAGAATTGCAGAATGGATCAGTCTCATACCCATGTGTGGCAGTTTAAAGTAGGGATATGCCCTGGTCGATTTGGCTCAGTGGTTAGAGCGTCGGCCCGCAGACTGAATGATTATGGGTTCAATTCCTAGTCAAGGGCATGTACTTCTATTGTTCTTCAACCCCCGGCTCTGATCAGGGCATGTGTGGGAGGCAACCAATAGATGTGTCTCTCACCTCGATGTTTCTCTCTCTCCCCCCTCCCTCCCTTCCACTCTCTCTCTGTAAAGATCAATGGAAAACGTATCTTCCAGTGAGAATTTACAAACAAATCGGGAAGGATATCTTGGTTGTGGAGGTTTCCCTGAGGAGTGAGGGGTCTCAGTCCCACATCAGCCCCCACCCGCCGCAGCCCCAGGTTCCAGGACGGGGAAGATAAGTCCCCACAACTTTTGGCTGTAAAAGCCAGCTCATGATTGTGGCTGAGCTGGAGGGGCAGCTTTCTGCCAGACAAAAGTGCTAGCAGAGGTCATTGCTCCTGTGTGTGTGTGTGTGTGTGTGTGTGTGTGTGTGTGTGTGTATTGATTTAATCCTTAAAAATTCCATTAATTGGGCACTATTTTATATGATAAATCTGAGGCACAGAGAGGTTAGGCTATTTTTGCACAACTCTAATGATTACTGAGTAACAGAGATGGGACTTGAATCCAGGCAATCTAGTGCATGCCACTAACATGCCTGTAACCCTGTGTAGCGCAGGAACTTCAGATTGAGGTGGACAGAGCTGGACAGACACCCTACTCTAAACTAGGTTGAAGATAAACTAGCTTCATAAGTCTATTTAACTTCGCCTTGATATGTTAGCAAGTATTGACTGAGCAGTCATGAGTATTTAGCTCTGTTTTAGGCCGTGTGATTGGGAAGACAAAAAGCTTGCAAAAAAAGGGCCTTCCCTCGATACTGGTAACTA